TTGGTATTATATTTTACGAGTGTGACACTCGATGAAATCTCACAGTAGCAGTTCTTGCTCTCGACAAGAAAGACAGACTTATGAATCAAAAGTTAAAGATTCTATTCGACTAGAAAAGTCGGACTACAGGTCGCATCCTGTCGTCATATCGAACTATCATTTTTGACTTTCGTATACGAGCTAGAAACTACGCGACATAGCTTATAGCTTGTCTTTATCATTAACCACTGAAACTGTAGTCGGAAATCGTGTCGAATACAATAAACACATCTGAGCATCGCCTACGAGTTCCAGAATCGACGAGAACTGAACTAGAAACGGAAATTTCTTTCTAAAAATATCGGTACTCTACCGAAACTTTTAAAGTTCTGCAGCAGCTACGAAATCTAAAATGGTTCTTCACCTGGATACACGCGCGGAACCTTTGACACGCAACCTGTTGAAGATCGATGGGACGCAACAAAGTTCGGTATGAAAAATACGAAACCATCCAGGTTCGAGACAAATCTTTGATGGCTTGATGCCAAACCTTTACGGTTTCGTCTCGAACCGAAATGGTTTCGTATTTTTCATACCGAACCTTTTTGCATCCCACCAATCTTAAAAAAGTTTCGTAGCAAAGGATTCGCGCGTGTATCCAGGTGAAGAACCATTTTAGAGCTGCTGCAAAACTTTAAAAGGTTCGGTAGTATAACTATTTTTGTTAGAATGTGAAACCAATACGAGAATCATGCTTCGTAAATCCGCTGAACATTCCACCTGACCCGACCATTGCCTACCTTATTTCATTGGTCTAGATTTCGGACAGAATCCTGATAAAGCTCTCGAGGATTTGCAACCGTTTGTCACTTCCAAGGACGAGGACTATGACAGTCGTAAATGATTGTATACGAGCGTATTTCGTCGGATTACTTGCCGTAGAATTACGACTGCATATCGTCGTGTCATATACAACGATATGCGGCGTGTATACGACCACTGTAAACAATCATGCACGCTCGTATACAATGTTATTTGTCATCGTATGCCACCAAAGATTTTCGTACCTTCCCCTCCCTTCGCACTCTTCAAACAACGCAAAAGACTAATATTCGGAGTGCCCAATTTCGCTGGAAGTCCTGATGTTTTTTTTTCTCATGCAGTGGTGATGATATATCAAAAAATATGATTGTTTTACTATAACTCGTAAAGCAATCATATTTTTTTTTGGTATATCATCGACGCTGCATGAGAGAAAAACAATCGGCACCTCCAGTCAAACTGGGCAGACCATTTTTTTAAACTAATTACTTACCATTCGATTTATCATTATAATTAATCTAAAAACAAAAATAAACTTTTTCTAAACTAACACTTACTGCTTCAACCAGGACGAGCATTTACTTTTTTTATGAAATTATTCAATAGATGTTTTTGTTAGTATAATATTTGTCTAAAATATTTTTTGATTAGTTATATAAAAATATATACGATAACCAATGCATAAGTTATTATAAAAAATCGAGCATAAAAAAGAGTCAAGATGCCTCTCCACATTACCACATCTAATAAAAATTAAATCTTGAATGCAATAGATTGAAAAAGTCACCTTTTTAGTCAAGCATCTCTACATTATTTTTGATTGATATTAACAATGAATTCAATTTTGGTCGTCTATGATACCTGCAAAACAACATTTTCCAGCAAAGAGTACAAAACAAAAATAAAAAAAGAGATTGTTGACACGTTTCCATCACGATAAATATAACAAGAGTCTAGCCAGCTCATTCTTAATAATTAGAAAGCATCTTGTGTGAAGATCATGTAAAGTGGAAAAGATAAAACAAATAGATAATTTGTAACAAGAAGTGACACATATAACACTATCAAGCTATCTTGCTATATACGAGAAAAATACAGGACCAAAATACGATTGTGTATAAGCATCGTTTACGATGATCTTTTTCAGTGGTTGTTTACGTAATCGTATATAATCGTATTGCACCGTGTACGACCATCGTTTTTCGTCGTATTTTTTTGTATACGCTCGTATACGCTCGTAGATTTTGAACTTGGGTTGATACGATAGTAAAGATATCGGAAAAATCTGGTCAAGTTCAGTTTGAAACACTGCTTTCATGATAATACTGGAGCCACCAAGAACGGGTCGTTTTCGTGCCGTCCAGTTCGACTTGAATAGAAACTAGTTATAATTAATAAGTAATAATTTATGCACTCAATCAGATTGAACAGTAAAGTATACTCTCTGATTCACTCTCGTCTGTGTTATCAATTGATTTGTCTGAAGTTGAGTTTTTGTTTTCGTAAAAGATGAAAGCTCAAGATCTTTCTTAAAATCTCTCTTAAGATAATTTATTTGTGAGACATATTGCTAACGGTATATATTTTGCATCTTGTTTTTAATCGACTGAATTCTTTATTTTATTTTCAATCCTACCATCTCGTAGAGCATTCTTTTCCCTATCAAATGATGCATTATTCAAAATTTTTTCAACACAGAATAAAGATGAAATTTAAGAAAGACAACACTTACGAATAATCAAGATTATCCTTTACTTCATCAAAAATCAGTTGTCTTTTTCAGAGAAGTAGGTATAAATCTGTGAAGCTTAAATATAAATTTTCGATTTTTATGGATGATAGAAAAAACAGCGAGCTACTAAAATGTGTAAATAGAGTCGATGTAAGATCTTGTATTTGATCCCAAACAAGCGTTTGTATAAAAACAATTTTGTAGCTATCAAACTAAGTTTTGGAACTATGGTTTGTACAGTATTTATATTCATCGATCTTTGTTGAATACATTCGAATCTTTTTGTGAATTGTTCAGTGTTTTATTATCAAACCTGACGAACAAATAAGTGTGGATTTTATTTTAAATAGAGAAAATTATCCGGTTATTTTCATGAAAAAAATAGAATTAAAAAATTTTTTGTTTACAGATTTCTTAAATCAAAAATTTTCCTTGAAAAAAAATCGCTCCCCAGAACTTTGGAATATAAGTGAAAAGATCCAGACTTTTACGGAGAATATTATGATATAAATCTAACTTTAGAAACTCTCTTATTCAGTATTTGTCGGTAATCTTATTAGAAGTCATTGATTGAATAATTCGTAATATGTTTTACTTTTGTAGAGCGAGCGATTCTACATTGTATTAGGTCAAAAAATGAGATTTGAAAGCTGCCGCTAATTGTAACAAGGACACGGTATAAAAATGGCCTATTCTATCTGACTCAAAAGTTGTATTACAAGTTTTTCACAAGTTATCGTCTTACTGATCTAAATATTTACCTATTAAAATGAAAGCAAGTAAAATTGAAAGAAAGTCAGGAAAGTATAAAAAAAAGTTGAATAAATTTTGACTAACTTACATAAAATTGAAACAAACTTTTTCATTTTCATTCGCAATATGATTATTTCATTTTAGGTGAGATGAAACATGTTGTTTTGAACTATTTTGTTGTCTATTATCTGTTTATAACGGGTGGTGCAAAAGTTTTGCATTAATTTTCTTTTCAGTATAGGATGGCAACGAATTTTCATAGAGACTTAATCTTTGTCTTGTTAGAAAGAGCAAGGTGTCTACTACAAAAATCTGTAAAATATTTGACTCAAAATGTTTACCAAAGACTAAAAAGCCTTAAGAATGAGTTGGATCGAAAAAGTGGCTTTCAACTTAACTCAAAGTTAGAGATGAGAAGTGCATTTGTTTAATTTGTTGTGCACTAAGCTTTCGATGTTTGGAGGCACGTTATATGTGAGTCTGACCAATGCAATGTGGGCTCTCTAATCATGCAAAAGCATTCCAGTTACAAAACTACAGGCTTCAAATGAAACAGTTTTATTAAAGAGTTGATTTTCTGTCTACAGCGTCCAATGAAGGTTTTCTCACAATGTCTAACAGAGAAACTGAATTCTATTTTATATAATGTGCTTTTGTAGAGGACTCAATAAACTTGAATTGCATATAAAATAGGCAGTTTCTGCTAACTTCGATGTTGGAAGAAATCTTATTTTTCGAAGTCATTCATTATTTCTGAAAAATTTGCACCAACAAAAGATGTTAGAAAAATGTTGATTTCAAATTCAACGGATCACTTGAAAATCTTATTTTTGCGCGTTTACAACGCCCGATCGTAGCGCTACAAAAGCCGAAAAAAAGATCAACTTTCTTTGTAGATGGAATTTCTTCTTCTTCTGAATTATAAAAGTTGTAAGGCACTTTTCCCGTCGAACGTGTTCTTAAGGCTTTTTAGTATTTGGTAAATATTTTGAATCAAATATTTTTTTATACAATTTTGTATTAGACACTTAGCTCTTTCCAACTAGAAAAAGATCAAGTCTCTATAACGATTCGTTGTCACGCTATATTGAAAAGAAAATTAATGCAGAACTTTTGCACCATCCGTTATTATCAATAAAAGTTAAATAGAATGATGTTAAATATGAAGCGCTAACTACTTAGTTTCATTAACCTAGGATAATTTACATCTTTCAAGAATCTTATGTGATCACCAATACTTCAATGATAAAATAATCATTGTAAGTCATATCATGTCTAAAAGATAAATCTTTTTTTATCGTCTAAATAGCTCTTTCACTTTACGTGTTATCAGAAATTTTTATTAGTTTTTTATTAATGAAATAAAAAAAAATTCAGTTAAATTCAACACAATATCTTGTTTAAAAATTCATAGCAAATATTTCAATTAAAAGAATCTCTCGAGACTAGACATTGAAAAAAGAAATGCACAACACTTGTCAATTTATGACTTTTGAACCGTTTGATTGATGTCAAATAATACTTAAAGAATGAATGCATCATTTTGTTTGTTAATCTGTGGATGTTTTACGTGAAAAGAAAATTATTTTTTTTATACAGATAATAATGAACAATATTTATCATTCATCGTCGGTGATTCTCCTAAAATAAATTACAAAACAAATATAAAAATGAAAAATGTCAAATTGAACAACCTGCCAATCACTGGAGATCACTATGGATTTCGATAACTATAAGGTGTTAGTAGCACTCGATTTAGGATCAATAAAACAAAGATAATAATAGCACCCATAATAATAGCAGCTATTATTCCTATAATAATCAAGATACTTGGTTTTGGACGGCAACCAGTTTTACATTCAGAAATTAAATCTAAAAATGTCGAATAAAACGTAGAAATAGATCAATGAAAAATAACTCATGTAAATATAATTTACTTGCTGTTATTCGAATTTTTTCTTCACTATGACCAGCTGTATTAAATAGACGAACAACAATTAAATAATTTGTTTTCGGCTTAAGTTCTTTCAATTCATATTCAGTTGCATGTGATTCAATACGAATTGGCTTACTCCATTTTCCTACTTTATTAGCACCATGAATCTTAATAATAGCATTTTTAAAGACATTATTTGCAAGTTTGTTTTACATCATGAAAAGAAAACGCTTACTGTAGCATAAAAAATTTCGGCTCGCGAAATTGCCGAACCACCATCATATTGAATAAACCACTTAATTAAACAAGATCTATAATCAAGACATGACGTATTTGATAAATTAAATTGTGGAACTTCTCCAGAGAATGTTTTTGCTTGAATAGGTATCGAAAAAACACTTTGTCCTGCATGGTTTTCAGCAGCTACTTGAATTCGATATACACTTGCTGCTTGAAGAGATTTGATTTCAATTGTTTGTGATTGATTTGATACAACTAAAATTTATTTTCATTAAAATAAATATCGTAATAATTTCATAAAAGATGAAATTCAAAAAATTTCTTAGTTCATTGGCCCCCTTTTTCTTTTTTTATACCTGGAAAGGATATTGTTTTGAGTGAATTAGGAACATCAATCTGTTCATATTTAACAATATATTGTAGTAGAGGAAGACCACCGAAATCTAACGGTGGTTGGACATTAAGTTCGATTGTATTTGAACTTGGTTTGACTTCAGGTACACGTACTGGTCGTGGAGGTTCAGCACGTTGAAGAGTTATTGAATGTTCTTCAATACGAGAATTATTGGCTCGGCATTCAAAATTCAAACCAAAATCTTCTTCTGATGGATTATACTATAGTTAAAACCATAAGAAAAAATAAAAATAAAGAAAAAAAACATTTACTATCAATTCTGTTTCATAAAGTGTTGAGCCAATTTGTTTAGTAAAAATATCAATTACTTGCGGATCAGTATCTGTTAAAATGACTTGATTTATATCATGTCCTTGTACCATTTTTACCCATTGAATAATAGGTGGTGGATAACTATCGATTTGACATTTCATTATTGCTAGAAATTAAATTAAAAAATTGAAGAATATGTTTTTCTAATGAAAAGACGCATTTACTGTGATAGTTGGGTACACTATATACATAAATCATCTTTGGTTCAATAAATATAGGTTTATCTTAAATCAATAAAAATATTATAGAAAAAAGAAAGAGCATTAAATGTTATTTGTTTACATTTAACAATAAGTTGAGCAACAGTTGATGTTACATCAGCTAAATTCTTTGCTAAACATGTATAATTTCCATGATGTTCCCGACGTATAGGATTAAAATTTAGTTCAATTAAACGTTGCTTTATCAATTGAGTAGTATCAATTGATATACCATTGATCGCCTATTGAGAAAAAGAACTATAGATAGGTTCTTTTTTTTTTTCTATTTAATTTTACTTGTACGGGTGTATTATTAGCATAAAGCCATTCTACAGAAAGACTTTCAATTGAAGCACGTTCAACACGACAAGTAAAGCCAACTTGTTTTGATGGAAAATTTTCATCAATGTTAATTTCTATTTGAGGGATGGGTGAAAGATGAGGTGGAACTAGAATTCATCAAATGAGATTATTTATCTTCGAAAAAGAAACTTATTCTTACTTATAACATTAAGTATATATTCTGTTTTTTGTCCTTTTTGATCAAAATCATTAAATGCATGACATGAATATCGACCATTGTCTGTTTGATCAACATAATTTATAATTAATCGGTTTCCACGAACAATATATTTCGATACTCCATTTACAATTAAATTATCATTCTACAATACGATCTATTTTTATTTTCTCTACTATCAGAAACAAACCTGTCCGTAAAACCATGAAAATTGTGGTGGTGGTACTCCAGTTGCTTCACAAATTAAAGTAGCTGTTCGTTTTTCAACAGCACATGGTGATAAACAAGTGATTTTTGAAGATGTTATGGCTTCTAAATTTTTTTTTCTATCATTAAAAAAATAATATTATTTTGAAAACATACGAGCAAGTACAACTTGAATTTGATAATCTTTTGATTCACCAGTTTCAGTAACATCTGCTTGACACCAAAAAATATCATTATCTATTGATGAAACTCGATAAATTTTTAATCCGTCATTTCTTTGTTCATAATTTGATGATAAAAGTTCCATTCGATTTTGTCCTTTAAACCATGAAATTTCAGCAGATGGATTTGATATTACTCGACATTTGATTAATACAGTAGAATTTAACTCAGCATATTGAATTGGTTCACTTATAAATGTTATTGGAACTATAAGAGAATAAAATCAATTGTTTTGATTTCGATAAAATGAAATTTACTTTTAACAACAATTTGTAAAGTATTCGAAAATGATTTTTCATCTTGATCGAAGCCTAAACATTTCCATATACCTTGATCATTTTGTGTTAAATTTCGTATACGTAATCGTAATCCATCTCTTTTGCGTTCTACTGTTATTCTACAAAGATAAACTTGTGAAATTAAAAAGAAAAACATGAAAAATTATTATTATGAATTCACCTTGCATTACTATCTTTTTCAATATCAATTTGTGATGGAGATTGCCAGGTAGCTGAGAAATAAGAAAAGATCAATAAAATCGAAAAAAAAGGAAATAATAATACAAACCAACTCGAGTATTTTTCTGTCCAGTACATAAAGCAATAAATGGTTTAAATTGATTACGTGAAACAATTGATTCAGCTGGTTGTATGATTAATTGATTATATACAATTTTAATAAAACAAATAACTACACAGAGTATTCTAGGATTTATCTAAGCAAAAAATATTTCTTACTAATGAAGATAAATATATGAGATAATTTCCACATGAGCATTTATTATTCGTAAATTAGAATCATAAGTTCATCTAAACAAAATACACAATTGATATTCAATTTTGTGAAACACGATCTGAAAGGAGTGTTGAAGTGTTTAGGGGTAGAAATTTGGACCCACCCCCCCTCCCCCCCACAGACCGTTACAGACAGGTGATTCCCCCGTCACAGACCGTTACAGACAGGTAATTCCCCCGTCACAGACCGTTACAGACAGGTTATTCCCCCATCACAGACCGTTACAGACAGGTAATTCCTCCATCACAGACCGTTACAGACAGGTAATTCCCCCGCCANCGCTTGAAATTCTCTATCATATCATATATTTGTTTTATTTTATCTGAAATATTTTTTCTATAGAAAAAATATTTCAGATAAAATAAAACAAATATATGATATGATAGAGAATTTCAAGCGCTATTAGACTGTGTAGTTTATTTTCTAAATACTTATTCTTCCAAGAATGATAATTTCAAAAGAGAAGTAAAAAATTTGCAAAAACGCAGATTTTTTTATCCTTCTTAAATGAGGTTGTGTTCAATGTGATCAATTCTTTTTAAAATGAATTAAGATAAAAGAAAATATATACATACAAGATGATAGAGCATTTCAAACTCTATCAAAATACAGATTTACTTATTTGAAAAGCTACCTTTATAGTAATATGATAAAAGGAAAACATTGAATGAGACGACAACAACAAAAAAAAAATTTTCGGAATCTGGACATGAGGATGCATTCATTGTAACCAATTTATTTTGATAATTTCTAAGTACAAAGTCAAAGGTAAATACACAGGATGGTGGAGAACTCCATGGACTTTCAGAATATGTAATTAAGTTTAAAAAATGATTTTATTATGGTAACAAAATCATTGAAATACTGACTGCAGCTATTTTTTTCCAGATGTTTATATGTGCTTCGTTCTATTCTTACACGTCAAAATAATGTAAAAAGTTCATTTCAATATGGGCGAAACTTTTGTTATTAACTATTTGAATTATTTCATTTATTAGCAATACGACATGGTGAAGTTGGGACAAATACACTTATCGACCCCCCTCATGTATTGACATAATTCGACTAATTAGCCTCTGAGAAGTTCATTAAAAGTATACCCGAGGGCCCCAGGTCAGTAGTTTAAGAGATAACGTGTATTTGTCCCGCTTGATACAAGCCGCACAAAGCATCTCAATAGCTGAGGGTGAAGGCAAAATCTTGATACAGCCGCCAAAGAGCATCTCAATAGCTGAGGGTGCCACGAAATCTTGAACCACATTTAAAGGGCATCTCCATTGCTGAGGGTGCCATAAAACAATATTTCATGGCACCCTCAGCTATTGAGATGCTTTGTGAGGCTTGTATCAAGTGGGACAAATACACCTTGTCTCTTAAACTATTGATCGGAGATCCTTGGGAATACTTTTAATGAACTCCTCAGAGGCTAATTAGTCGAGTTAGGTCAATACATGAGGGGGGGGGGTCGATAAGTGTATTTGTCCCCAATATACTTTGGCAGAATTACTTATACTATCGAAAATGCAACATCTTATCATAACATCAAAATCAACATTTGGTATGGTTGCTCAAGGTTTAGCACGTAAGGGTGCCTGGATAGTACGACAAGGTGCATCACACGAAATACAAACCGTTAAGTCAGATCTTTGTGAATGGGAATCGACTAGTGAACCAGAATATCAAATGATGAGTTCACTTCAAGTCAATGATACTTGTTCCAAAAATAGTGCATCTTTACCAAGTATTGGAGAGAGAACTGTTGTTTAGTATATTTTCTTGCTCTATAATATAAAGTAGATCATCATTCGCATCAAACGTAATTCTTGAATTTTATTTACAGCAATTGAAAGTTTTGAAATATTTTTACTATTCTTCTTTTTTATTGAATATATTTTGACAGTAAAATTCAAAACTATATACATATATATAAAGTTTAAATTTATAAAAGAAGTTGCTTCAATACACGACTAATTATTCTTTTCATAGATAAAATATCATAGATAGTGCAATAGAGAAACGTATAGTCATAACCCAAATAGCGATCACAAAAAAACAGATGGCTACTATTTAAAGAATGAACGTTGATGTAATCTAAGATTGACATAATTCTTTAGCATTTCAACATCTTAATTGATAAGTTTGGAACATTTTCATTTTAATTACCGTCCCTTCACCCCCTCACGCAGTACTATGTACATATATATAAAACACACGAATAAATGTGAAGATGTTATTAAAGTGAAAATGTACCGATATGTCGGCATTTGCTCACGTCCAAATTTATCAACAGTAAGTCCTTTGCATAAATAAACTAATTTCAAGACTGCTAACAAATGAATGAAAAACATTACATATGATTTTCAAGAAATCAGCTACCGATGAAGTTTGACAATAACCAACAGCTATCTTTCGGATAATTTTAAGATGCTAATTAAAAGATGACTTTGAGACTTCATTTGGATTTTAGCCTAGATTTTACTAATTAAGTCAAAATTATCTCTTATGGATTCACATGACACGAAGAATATCAAGCAAAATTAGAGTGTAAAAAAGTGTCAAACAATCACGCTTCATACAAAAAAAATCCTTCATAAAGCATAAAAATGCAGCTGACGAAGGGTAAAATAATTGAATATTTTTGAAAGTTTGAAAAAATGTCCACTCGATTAATCAAAATTGAATGAGTAATTTACGAAGATATATACGGAAAAAAGATAATCCATATTTAGCAAACAGTCATGTGTTTTATGTTTAAAAGTTATATAAAAATATAGATAGAATATATATTTGTCTTTGTTTATAATGTTCTTTTATTCCACCTGTTGCCAATCATATGTGAGCGAATGGTGTCATTTTTGGGTGATTTATTATAGCAAGGCATCATTTCGTGCTATTCTCTTTCTATCGTTGATATGATGAATGAGTATTGTAGCATCATAGTTAACATATTTTCATAAAATATTACCTTTCAATATAGATATATATATATATATTGTTAAATTTAAAAAAAAAGTTTCATATGATAACTGTACAATTTGTTCTGTAATTATCAAGAGAAACGAAGAAAAAAAGTAACCATGCAATACATGTCATGATTGTATCTCATTCATGTCTACGAACAATGGACGGATATACAAGAGTACAGTGACGTTTTATGAATAAAAGAAAGAAGAAAAAAAGAACAGACTAGGGGGCACCCGGGATTGAACCAGGGACCTCTCGATCTGCAGTCGAATGCTCTACCACTGAGCTATACCCCCCATGCTATGAGATTTATTGATCAACAACTCATCGTACAACCCATTAGAACTTATTCAAACAAATCGATGCGTTCTATATTGACGAGTCAAAAAATTTATCTCATTATACGAATATATTAAAATCGAATAAAGCTTGATTTTTTTCAATATATAAAATCTACGTGTCCATTTTTAATTAATATTGCAAATCAATACATTATATCACAAGTATAATGAACAGAAGTTTAATATGCTTAGAAAAATTATAAGTTTTTTTTTCTATTTTACATTGCTACATTTTGAATCTTTGAGCTAAATTCAAAGTTAATTATAAATTTAGTAGCATCAATATACGATCATTCATAAGTGTTGCTGCTGGATAAAATTATTTTTTTTTTGCTGACAGAAAATAATTCCTAACCGAATTGTTACATATTTGCTTTAGGTGACTCATGTTGATCTTTTAAATGACATATTATTGGATAATAAGTTCTTTTGTAAGAGTAAAAATATAAACATGCGAGTGTGACGATAAATTTTTTGCAATTGATCAACAAGATATTTTATTTAACAAAAATGAAAAACACTTATATATTAATCTGATTATACAAAGACCTCATTTATTTATCACATATTTATTGTCTATCAATTTTTATTAATTCATTAAGTCTTTTTAGAAATATTATCAATCATTACAATTCTTAGTCTAATGTAGTTTTAATTTATTTAAAGCTTGAAAATTGTTCTTCTCGTACTTTTCTCGTTTAATATTGTCTATACAATCTCAGTGGGTCATACATCAGCAAATTTAAGGTCATCTTCTCGAGATAAAACTCGATTATTATAGAATTCATCAATAATTCAAAATAGAACAATTGTTCGTCGTATTTCGTTCTGCATGCGATCCTTTCATATATTTTATCCTTTTCAATTTGGTTGTTGAGTACATTGTTCGGCTGAACATATAATCAGTTGATCGTGATGAGCGCTGAATAATCGATTAAGATAAATAACTATTGACTTTTACTACGCTATATTTTATGTGGAATAATTCAATACTTTATTAAACAATCGCACGTTGATCGATTGCGAAAAGTTTATTCTCAAATTCTCATGTTTATATTGTTATTATTACAAAAGAAGATATTATATAATAATATCTTCCTTGAAAGACTATACTTCAAGACTTACGAAACATCTTATATCTTCTTTAGTATCATTGACGACAGCTGATTATTCGTTATTTTTCTATTCGATTCATGACATGAATTATTTTATATAAAAGATCATAGTTTTATACTTTATTAAAAAACTGAAATATAATGAAAACTACGTGTTATTTTAATAGTAAATTTTTTTAGAAAAGTATTTATGTATGTTTGTCAATTATCTTATAATCTATTGTATTCTTTCAATATTTCACGCAATCTTTGGTGTAGAATAGCATAGATTTTATTTTCATGAAGTCCTTCCATTGTTTTTGCTGCAACCATGACATTTGAAATAGCTTCGTCAAGTTGTTAGTGTAACAACTTCAAAAAGAAGAATCCATTTGTTCATTGGGTAACATTTCTAAACGCAAAAAACCTATTGTTCATCTACTATTTATTGATTAGCAGTTGAAAATGTCGCCTGACTTATTTTCACTTTATTCTCCTGCAAGTTCTATTTTGAGTATTACACGACAGACAAATTGCTTTTACTAGTGTGATAAAAGAGACACATCTGTAGTGATGACTACAATAATTGAGTCCTGTTATTGATATATAGTTTTTCCTAATTCACCAACTGACAAAAGTTCATTTAACATTTCTTCATAAATGAACGAAACAATGACACCAACTGCATTTTCCTCATGCTTACACAAGTAGAGCTCATCAGGTTCAAAATATTTGAACTCGAATTCGGTTAACGGAAGTTTTCAGACTCGTACTGCATGAATTCTACCTACAAAATGATGTTCAAATACGATCTTTAAACTCATGCGTAATCATTTCTGTTCTTCCATCAACATTGCTTTTATCGGCATAATTTGAACCTATTTTATTGCTTCAACAATAAAAAAGAACAGATCGTGCCATTAGAGTGTAATGAAAATGCATTATTCTAACATATTTAACGAAATGAATTATTGCTTCTGTCTTGTCTTGATATAGATAAATCGATTTCCAAATTTATTGCCAAATAAATTTATCATTCTGGTCAAATATTTCATCGAGGTACAATCACTGTTTTAATTAGTTAGTGAATGAAGTTTTTTGTGACTGATGCATTAAATTAAATTATTTTCTTCAACGTATATTAAATACTTAGAGAGAAACAAAGCAACAGTCAATCAGCTCGTGGCGAATTTTTTTTTAATTTCTTCTTAGCAGAAATGAAAAAAAAAGATGAATCATAACAGACTTCAATATGCAATCTCAGATTATTGTTAATATCATTTAGATTCTCTGATGATGGGATGTATAACGTGTTCAAAGATTGCAATAAAACATGAAATTTCTGTATAGTTTTACTTCTATTTTGAAGAAATGTTCGTAAATTGTGTTGTTTTTTGTATATTGTCAATATATGACAAACATTCATTTCTTTTGTATTATGTGAAGGTTATCTATTCATGAAGAGTGACTTATCTTAGGTGCACATTGGATGTCATAAATTACATATTTAATCCAAATGATATCAAACACGAATTTGAGATAAAGACAATGTCAAGTAGGAAGAAAAGCATTATAAACGATGTCAAACTATTCATATGAAAATAAAAAATAAATTCAATAAATCATTTTTATATAGAAATATTCATATATAAGATTCTATAAATCTTTCTCTGTTCTATTTCTCAATTAACTGATTTACTGTCATTAGATATACATTCTTGTGATAAAATCGATGTTTAACATGAGAGAACCAATATTTATTTTAAATAGTATATGTACAGCAAAATACTGCCATCTATTTAGAATTTTTGCCTCTTTTTATTTTGACAGCAGACTTACCTTAATAGAAAATCGAAATAAACGAGACATTTCCATTTCAATACATTGAATCTGAATCGAGTGTAGCTAGTTTAATGCTATGAGCATTGCTAAATAATGAGCCAACTATATCTATTTAGTTTATTTATTTTCAATGGTCCAATAATGAAATAATGAATAGATTTTTCAGTGAAAAATTAAAACTATTCGGTAAACTTAACTCTATTCATCTTTATATATGTATTCATTTAACAATTAATAAATATTACCTAGAAAAGGTGCCATATACAACATGTGTGAACCTCTACCTATCAAGCGAAAGAGAATTAGATTGCTTGAGAGTATCACTGTACGTTCTTCCTTCTTTTCTCTTTCTGTCTCTCTCCAGGACGACGACAAGAGAGTAAAGCATTGCATCTTTCTAATTGCTTGCTCACTCAAGTGTATCTCTTCCATTGTCATTATTTTTTATATTCATATTTGCGTAAAAAGAAGAAAAAAAAAAGAATGTCATCAAAAGAGTTATATATTGGTAATCTTGACCCAGATA